ACATAAATACTTAAGATCTTTCTCCATGCTCACAGGATGCTCATGAGGAATCAAAGGCTGTTACAAAAGCTTCTGCTATGAAAGGTAATCCATCTTCTTGCAGTTATAGTGCTCTAGCAAGTGATGTAGCCATTTGTTTTGCATGATTATGACATTCTGGACTCATAGTAGATACTCACTCTAGCCCATGTTATGGAACCTAGTTTGACTTGATTGGAGTAAGAAACTCCTAATTTGTTACCAAAGCTGAATTAGAAATTTTCTTCATTAGGATATTTGAAATGTCAAAAATGATTTTACTTCAGGAAAAAGGCACTGCAAGAAAGTTCAGATTATTTAAGAGAGATTATTATTATATGTTCTTACGGTATCCTGCAGGTAGACGTCCAGAATTTTGTAGAAATAGGTCAGTTATTCTTATTGTACCAAAAAATAGAAAGCAGAATGAATCAAAACATAAGATAATTAGATTCTCTGTTCCAATTTATTTGTTCTTTCCTTGAAGGATGTATCCCAATTTATGTAACCTTAGTGTGACGTCTTTTGATACACTTCTACAAATAATAGTACTCTTTACGGTTCCACCCATCTTTTAAAACTTCAAATTTATTAAGTGATTTGAAATTTCAATAGCAAACACATTATTGTTTGTAATGTAGCACATAAAAGATAAGTAGTAAAAAAGGAGTACGTTGCACTGAGTAAGATTTCTCTTTCTTTAGAAAAGTACATTTTCCTTTGTTTTTTTGTTATTCATTTTCATAATGAGTTTGTTAATGATATATTGTAACCTGCAGCAATTAAGCAGCGGATGGAAAAAGATGTTGATGAAGTCGGAAAAATAGCTCGAGTAATCAAATCAAAAATCGAGGAGCTTGATAAAGAAGTGAGTAGTATTAAATGCTTATGTCTCTTACTTTTGGTCCTGTTATTTCTTTGTTTTTGATCTATTTTTGTTCTCTTGCAGAATCTAGCCAATAGAAACAAACCAGGTTGTGGTAAAGGATCAGCTGTTGACAGATCAAGAACAGCAACAACAGTGTAATTTTGGCTAATTTTTCTCCTTAGTTCCTCTGATAGTTATATCTTTGTAATTTTGTCACGCAATTGTTACTTTGTGATTGTTAAATGGGTATCTCACAATAACATATTTGAAAGAGATGCTCATACTGGTTGGCTATGGTGTATATGGGCACTATGCTGTGGCAGGAAAAGCAGAAGAATTTGGGGATAGTGTGGGTGAATCAACATTAGAGTTGGTATTATGTCTTTATAGTAAAATGAAGTTTGAATTCTCGTTTGTACTGATTAAGAGAGTAAATAAGATTATGGTAGGGGTTGTATTAAGATCAAATGCCTGCCTTGTATAAATACCACCTTATCAAATCATGAAGGTATTAAAATTATACTAACTTTTACTTCTTAGTTATTATATGCACACATATGGAAAACTTAAGTTAGGAGCATCTGATTTGTCAGTGCTTAATGTATCTGAGAAGTTGATAGATTGAAGCGTTTATTGATCTCTCCTTAGTCTTCCCCTCGTGCATTATTGTGCATTCTTAATACTAATCTTGATATACCTATAGTCCTCACTTGACTTGCTATATATTTGCAGTTCCTTGAAAAAGAAGTTCAAAGATAAAATGGCTGAGTTTCAGGTACATCAACTGCATTAAGAATGACTTTTTTCTCTAGATTTTGCTTGCTCTTACGTTCAGTTGATTATTATGATTTCAGACTTTAAGAGAAAACATCCACCATGAGTATCGCGAGGTTGTTGAAAGGCGAGTATTCACAGGTGACAAAGCTTTTGAGTTTGATATTTCTGTGTGGAGTGTAAATGTTCTAAAGCAGATTCTAAATGCTATTCCCTTTTTCTTATCTTTCTCTTTATGTGGTCGACAGTGACGGGTAATCGAGCTGATGAAGAGGTAAATCTTGATAGTTCTTGTGAATTATTGGGAACTTATGATTCTTTTTGCATATCTTCTTACTGTTCTCGTTTTCTTGTTTCCCTCTATTTTCACCTTCAGACAATTGATAGGTTGATAGAGACTGGGGACAGTGAGCAGATATTCCAGAAAGCTATTCAGCAACAAGGGCGAGGACAGGTATACTCAACGATTTTCACAATTTCTTCTTTTCATTAACTTTGAATAACCTTATGTCCAAGTACTAGGTTATAGCCTTTTCACATAGCTCGTAGGATCAAGATCTCAATGCTTGAGTTATTTATTCTTGAATTTAAAATCATGCTTGTATACAGTTTAAATTTCTGTGGGCAATTTGGCATTTCCCCTGGTGTGTTAACATGAATTTGGTCCACTGGCCATCCGATGCCCCTTAGTGTTGGTTTATTTCAGTTCTTTAACATCCAACTCAATATTTTGATAGGTTTGTTTTAATCACATACATTAAAGCCCATGGTGCCTTATCTTTGTCTCCTCGCGACATTTTTACCATGCCTGAAGCTGTTGTTTGCATATACTTGAGTTTTGATACAATTTGTAGATTTTCAAATTCCTAGAAATGGAATGGAAGGTGGGAAATGACTATTCCAGATGTGTGAGACTTATACTTCAGGCACCCAGGCACTGCCGAGGTTTCACGAGTAGCGGTGTAGGCAAAAGATAGAGCTAAAGGAAGCCTCTTGCCCTATGTTTGGTGACTGTATTATCTTGTGACCATTATAACATCTTGCAAACAGCTCTTTTCTAACGTTATGTTGTGTTTATTCCATTATATATTCCCTTTCTTTCAAATGCCAATGACATATCCTTGCTTCCATAAACACAAGAGAAGAAATTCTTAGCTCCTTCCCACTCGTTAGAAACCACCATAAAGTAATTGAGATTCATCTTAATCCTTACTGTCGTTAGCTGGATGTGGCCAAGTTGACAAAGATCTCTATAATCCTCAAGCTGCTACTGGTAATGCTTGAGCAGTGGCTTGCCCTTGAAGTGTAGTGTAGCATACAATGACCCATCTAAAAAACGAATTACGCAACATATTGGAATCTTGTTCAGAAGAGGGCAGATAGCTCAGAAGTCAGAAGAGAAATATGGAACGAAAATTATCTCCCCATCACCTGATCTTTATTTCTCTTTTCTTTTCATTTTCAATTAAATGATATTCCATGCAAACTTTTGTCCTTTTATGTGATAAAGCAGCTCATGTACATTTATAATATTGCTAGCATGGCACTTGAAATTTTTGTAATCGTTAATATAGTATGCCGGTTCTCAATGTTGGCGTCTTGCAGATAATGGGCACACTAGCTGAAATTCAAGAGCGCCATGATGCAGTTAGAGAATTAGAAAGGAAGCTTCTTGAGTTGCAACAGGTACTATATTCTTTACTTAAACCTTTTAACAGGGAAAGGAAGTACTAGCAAAGATTTCCTTGGAAAATCTCAATTGAAGAAGTGGAGAGAAAGGACAAAAAATTCATTGACAACAACATAGATAGTTTCTACCTTCGTTTTTATCTTCTACTTGTGGACTAGACTTAAGTTCAGAGAACTAAATATAATCTGGTTAGTCCTAGGTATGTTGATGAGTTTGGCTTAATAACCTCCAACCTGATGCCAACTGAAAATATGACAAATAAAAGGTCTTCCACTGTGTATATGCGTGTGTGTTTGCATGCTCATATGTGTCTGTGCACATGCTTATACAGTTCTTTGAGGGAGGGACATGCATAAGTACCATGCCATGATTGAATGAGTTCCCGTAGAGAAGAGTAAAAAAGACACGATGATGTCTGGTTATAAATTTTGTTCTATTCTGCAATGCAGATATTCCTGGACATAGCAGTGTTGGTTGATGCTCAAGGAGACATGCTTGATAATATAGAATCACAGGTACTAATATTCTTAAGAATGGAACTTAGCATTTGGGTGTGATTATGTTTACATTACCCTCATCGCGAACAACCCGAATTTCCAGGTTTCAACTGCTGTAGACCATGTACAATCAGGGACTACTGCTCTACAAAAGGCAAAGAAACTTCAAAAGAATTCAAGAAAATGGATGTGTTTCGCCATCATGATCCTCCTCATAATTGTTGCAATTATCGTCGTTGGCGTGCTCAAGCCATGGCAGAGTAACAAGGGTGCTTAACTTATTAATAATCCCGCATGAGCAATGTATAGATACATAATGTATACTATCATTGATCATGCTATTCATTACAACATTTCTTGGTTTTGTACATGTTGAACCTTGGGGCTTGCCTCTATATATAGTTTGAAGTGTGATTGAAATATGTAATCTATTCTTTATAATCTTGATTTTTATCTGGTTGGAATTGAGAGAACACTACTTTGGACTGGAAAAATACATTTGTCACAAATTTGATTGTACTCCAATGTCTTTGCTTGAATGAGTTTGTGTAGGAAAAAATTATTAGCAAGTTATATGGATAGCTAGAAGATCAGCTAAACAAAAGAATGAGAGTTTCTTGGTCACCTTGGAATCAACTTCAAACATATGCATATTTAGTTTTGCTTGCCAAAACTTCAACTCATAATCGATCTTTAAGTCATAATGTCTCAAAACGAGGAGCTAAAAGTTTAAGGAGGCCATAGAGGTTTTTTTTTTTCATTCCTTTATTTCGAACTTCATGAAGAACTCCAATCTATCTCTTCCTCGTTACAAACAAAAAGTGGAATGATATTCTAGTCATACACTTTCTTCGTTCTACGATTAACTTAGAATGTGTATTTTTAAAATTTATGTAACTTTGATTGTAATTGAAGTCCGTTTTCCCTGAAAAAAATGATTTTTTAAGTGTCTATCCATGTAAAGTCCAAGTACGCCCGCCCTCTTCAGACTCTACTTGTGGGAATATGTTGAATATGTTGTTATTGTTTGGTTGTAAACTTGTAATTGAAGTGATTAGTCTCAATCAACATCCTAGAGGGGTTAGCTGTATACAATTCATACTTCGAGGGGCAATGTGTAATTTTCAATTTCTTTGAAGTGAAAAAATCTCCTCGCCCGCGAAACGTCGAGGGTTTAGCAAACACTACACTTTTACACTAAAATGGAGACAGCGAAAGACACCGTACAGCACGACGCCGTTTTGCCGGCCGGCGACGATGATACTCCGACGTTAAGCTCTCACGCTCTAGAAGCACTGAAAGAGTTCCTCGCCGAGCAGAGCCGAGCAGTTGAGGAAGCTTCGTCAGCTGCGGCGGAGGATGACGTGGCGCTGGTATCGGAGGATTGGCGGCTAAGCCAGTTCTGGTATAACCGCGAAACAGCTGAAACTGTCGCTAATGAAGTCCTCAATCTCTGCCGGTCGATTGATTCGCCGGCGATTGCCTGCATTGCTTGCCCCACACTTTATGCTTATCTTAAGGTAAGGTGCTTTAATTAAGTGTATTTTAGTTGTAAAGCTTGTATAATTTAGAACTTTATGTTTAGATTTTCTTTCAAAAAGCTAGAAAAAATGAGTTGTTGAAGCTTTACCTTTACCATTTCAGATTAAATTAGTTGTTGAAACACAGCCACTGATATATGCTTAACTGATTGAGTGATGGAGCTATGCGAGTTTAATCGATTTTGTTATGATGGATGGTAAATATAAGCTGGATTTTCGATATGAGAAAAAGATGTTAACTAAGGATAAACTTGACGAGAAGAGATAGTTTGGTACCTGACATATATAGTATCAGAGGTATTTTGAGAAAGGGAGTTTATTAGTATGTGTAGTATTAGAGCTAGTTCATTAACTTTGTTTGCCAATTTCATGTCCAGAAAAAAGTTATGCTAGGTGGAGCTGTCATGTTGTGTATAAATATCCTATGTTGTGTCTTTCATTCTCTCGATGTGGATTTGTGCATTTGTTTTTTGGGTTTAGCTGGTTCCAAAAGCAGTTGGTTTGGTTTTAAAACCAAACACGGATGTTAAATTATTTCACCATTGCGGGGAGGTTGCATGCAAAAGTAATAAACACATGAGAAACATAAATTCTTTTCAAAAGCTTACGTTTGACTTGTTCTGTGTACATTTGTCTATATTCCCTTGGGGTTCTATTTATATCTCTATTTCATCTTCATATTTGTCTGTAAATTATTTGCAAGTTCAATTGTGGATTGTATAAGAAATTTATATTTTGTGTCATATTCGTTCAAACATGTTATTGCACTACTAAAAGTACTTGTGAAACAATGTTTTTCTTGCATTTTCCTCTCCTGAAAGGCTACTTACTGTTACTTTTGTTTTGTTCTGATAAAGTATTTTAAGTAACTTAGACTCGGAAAGTTAGCAAGACTAAAGCATAGCACAATTCATCACTTCTCTTTAATTTAGCTTCTTTCTCCAATTTTATGTTATTCTTCTTTTTCAAAGTTAGTCAGTAGGTTCAAAGCCCATTGCCAGGTTGTCTCTTTAGTTTGGAACTTTAGTGTACTCAATTGTTTATATGATCTTTAGTTATTCATGGTGAGTTATATTTTCCAACTTCTAATGCTTTGTTTATGCATGCGTCTCAGAAAATTGACCCTAATGCACCTGCACAAATTCTCGAATATGACAAACGGTTTGAACAGTATGGAAGTGAGTTCACATTCTACGACTACAACCTACCAGAAGATCTCCCTTCTTCAATGAAACACTCATATCCAATAATTGTTGCAGATCCTCCTTACCTGGTGAGAGCTGATATATGCTGTATACTGAAGTGGTTCTATGATAATTAAAGAGTATACATTTTAACTGTATTTCATTTTTACTTGCGACTAATTTGATTTCTGAAGTTCCCTATATACTTGAGAGATATCTAAAAATAAAATGTCCGCTTATATTCTGAATTTCCTAGAGTCGAAGATCATTCGTTGCTTAATTATGGGCTTCTCACCTTTGGATGGGATGATATATGAAAAAAAATGCACAGTTTGCATGAAAGCATCACAAATCTTGACCGTTTCATAGTCTGGCATGCAAGTTTTTAAGTGAACCTTATTCTTGTCCTTTTCTTTCCTTCTCGAAATTTGGTCATCTTAATTTCAAATGTTACTCTTGTCTATCATAAAGATTCACCTATTAATGTCATGCTTCTTTTCAATTTCTTTATTAAGGAGAAAATTCTGTGCTGCCTTGATTGTTCATTTCTCTGATTTATTCTTCTTCGGTGCAATAGGGGTATCTTAAGATCTTAGTTTGAAAATGCTCATCAACATTCGTTAAAAAAAAAAGCTCATAAACATTGCTTTTATCTTAATGTCTCTTTCTTTTGTGCTTTTTTTATCTGCATTGTCTTTACCTAAATTAATCTGCATTTCAAAGGTCAGCATGGATTACCTCTAAGCCCTCAAAGTCTCTCTCTCTTTCATATGCGAGGATTCAGCTTAAAAAGAACCTGCAGAATAGGCTTGCCTGAAATTGACCTTTAAAACATCTTCAGCTATATTAGAAGGCGGTTTGTAACCTAGAAATGGATAGATACTTCTTATTCAGTTGACCTATTTTTTCTCTGTTAGGAAACTTACTTATCCACTGTCGTGACAACGAAGATGAATTGTTCCCATTACTTTGTCTTGTGCAAGTTCGACGTTTATCTGATGATTTGTTCAATGCCTTTTATCCTTTGTGTTTCAGAGTGAGGAATGCTATGAAAGCGAATCAATCACATCATTGTCATCACTCATTAGTTGTCTTGTGCAATTTTGACATTTATGCTTATTCAAGTATCTTCTCTTTTTTCTTTTTTTAAAATTTCAGAGTCAGGAATGCTTAGAGAAAGTTGCTAAAACAATTTCTTTTCTCACGAGACCAGGACAAGCCTACTTGCTTTTACTCACAGGTACATACTGAATTTTATGCAGTGTTTTACGACTTGATCTCCCGTCGGCTGTCGTTCATCATGTTAATGGTCATTGAATCTAGTTATGGTTTTTTAAGGATCATAAAACATTGAATCCAGTTATCTCTGCCTATGTTCATTTTTCATGGTTGTCATCAAGCTGCTTACTAATTTTATTAGTAGCAAATATTATGTTTGATGAAGAAGTCGAAACTATCAAATGAGTTAGCAGCAAGATTTATCGACTTTCAGCCGCCTCCTAAGCAAAAAGGGGAGGAATTATTTTAGAAGAAAAGAGTGATAATTCTATTGAAGAAACGAAAGGAGAAAAAGAGAGTGGAGAAAATGAAGGATATCCTGTCTTGAAAATAACCAGAGTAAATATGCCTTGAATGTTATTTCACTTCTCTTTCTCTTTTGGACATGCAGGTGAAGTGCAAAGTGGTAGGGCTTCCGAGCTCTTGGGTTTACGTCCATGCGCTTTTAGGCCAGATCACTCCAGCAAACTAGGCAATGAATTTCGACTGTTTACAAATTATGACCCAGGGACAAGGCTAGGTGGCTGGGAGCAGGTGTAACAAACACTTCTCCAATTGGAAATCTTCTTCTCCAAAGAAACCGTAGGTTGACATTGGTTTGTAATAGAAGTTTTTTCGAACATACTTCAAATCTACACATCCTTCCATGGAATATTATCTCAAAATCTTCTTCAGTTACCTAAACATACCTGAAAGAGCACAAAATATTACTATGATTATATAGTTGTATGTATTCTGGTTTCGTGTTGAGTTACTCGTTTCTTTCTATGGGAAAACCTTCTGTGAAACGACCGCTTACTCCTTTAAATTACTCATGTATTTGCAATTGCCATGCTCAATTTGTTGCACAGTTTAGTTACGTTCAGGTTGGTTTCTTATTCCTTGATTGTGAAGGTCTTTAAAGAAGAAGCTAACTTGATTATATTGTACAAACGATGGTACTCTTACATAATATCAGCTTGCAGGGGCGGAGCCAGCATACTGTTAGGGGGTTCATCTGAACACCCTTTGACGTTAAAAATATTTTGTATGTATATATAGTAGATGTTGACCCCCTTTGATTAGTCGTGTGTTTACTTCTTCAGATTTTGAACTCTCTTATTAAAAATTCTGGCTCCGCCACTATCAACTTGTATCTGTCTTTTGGTTCTTTTGCAGTATCATTGGGACACGAGGGTGGTTCTAATAACAAGCCAAGATTGAGCTTTATCGAACACACTTGTGAGTTATGAGCTGACCATTCTATCGAAAGAGCGTTCATGAATATATTTTTACTAACCTTCTATAGCAAAATTTGTGAACAATTAAATTAGTGTAACTTTTCAATTTTTCCAATGTGTAATGCTACATCTTTTTCTTTTTTTTTTTTGCAAAATTTCCTAAAACAAGGACAAAATATAAACCATAGCTTCAAATTATTATATTTGTGCAAGTTGTTATGTATATTTCTTTACTAGTTAGATAAAAATCATGAAGCTGAAGAATTAATCAAATTATCTACAGTTTTTTTTGCGAAAAAAAACACCCCAAGAATATCCAATTTTCCGTGGGAAGAAATATCTTAGAAGAAAAATATGTTTGTCAATATAGAGAGATATAAAAGGAAAAAATTTAAATATAAAAATCTAGCTTATTAGGTAACCCAATAATTATTAAAAGATCATTTTTGTAAATAAAAAAAAAATATAACTGGGCTATTTATTACCAATTTGTCCTCTAGAATTCTATGCATTCCGCTTAAGGTTGGAATAGAAATTAAACCCTAATTTCACTGTTATAAATAGAGTGTTACCGCCTTTTTTTTTTTTTTAGCTATCCTTCTAGCAATTTCTTCAATGTCTCATCAAAAGCCTTTTCCTAGCCTTAAGAAGACATTCTTTGACAATTTTTTTCCATCAGAAGCTGAAGAAGAAGCTTTCAAACTTAATAACACTCGACATCTAGTGACTCGAGAACTACTTGAGATAAGAAACATATTCCCTCCCTCGAAAATTGATTTGAAAAACCCCTGACATCAAGAAAAAGATTACTCGGGACGAGATCATTTTAGGAAAGGTGGTGATTCCATTTTTCAAGACATTTGAGTACATTCTTCGATACTGGACATTGGATACAGCCAAAAGTTTGGAGGACGGGTACGGTGTGCTTGTTGACATGTGGGATGTAACTGAGGAGAATTCTCCTAAGAAGTATGCAGGTGAAAGTGTTTGCTTAAGGAAGTTGTACAATGATAACTTTTCTCTTATATGCATCGAATTGTTCAACGATCGTGGATTTGGCAATGGTGATGAAATTGGGCTATATTGGGATCCTAGATCTTCATGTTTAATGTTCAAATTACTTTCTCATATTCGTGCTTAGCGAAAGGTCCAAGTCTTTTTGTTACCTCATTGGGATTAGTAAGGAAAAATCTCTCCCTTGCTTGTACTTATCCCTTTTGAGATTTTTTTTATTTCCAATAAAAGTCTGCTAGTGTAACATTTCAAAAATTTGTAAACTAAACTAGTGTCTAACATGAAACTAGTAGGCTAAGTTAAAGCTTGACGTTTAGGGTTAGAGCCTTGAAAATACCTCCCCGTAACTTAAAATTCATGGTATAGTGTTAGAATGTCAAAGCCTAAACCCCAATGATCAGCCATGGGTCCTTGAGGAAAAGCCTCAAAATTGTGACCTGGGCAGTGACCCACGAGGGCACCTACTCCCTGTAGGTCCACTCACGCCATGTAGATGGGAGTCGTGGGTCAAGCCCCCCAAAATCAAGTTGCAGATCAATGAACCACGGACCTGCAGGACGCCACGTGAGTCCACTCACGGACCGTGGGGCCTGGGTCGTAGGTCACACCTGAAACTGCCTTTTGGTAGTTAAGCTTAGGGTTTTTTTGGGGATTTCCTTTTTAATTAATGGTTATGTGGTGTTGTTTTAAGCTTATTTTAAACACCTATATACGTATTTTTCCCACCTAAAATAACTCATCTAAGATCATAATTCAGAAATCCCCAAATCAAAATCAAATCCTCTATAATATCTTCTCTCTAGAACCCCAAAGAAGGAGAAGAAGAAGATCAAGTTAGGGCTTGAAGAAGGAGGCTTTCTCACACGATTTTGTTGAATTTCTTCGTATGATAGTCTTTGATTCATGAAATGCTTTCATCCATGAAGCCCTCAAACTTTCAATTTCAAAGTAGGAAATTCTCCAAAATCTAGGGATTTCACTCCAAGTCATGGATTCATTCTTAAAATGTTTTTAACGAATTATTTATCTTATATTATGATTGAATTGTTGTTTTATGATGGTTTTATGATAAAATCTCCCTTGAATCCATGAAATCCCCATAACCCTAATTTGTGACTTTGTGATGTGGGTAAATTGTAGTAAGATGAATACTATGAAATTGCAATTGTAGTAGTTTAGTTATTTCAATCATGTTATCATCCATGTCCAATGTAGTAATGCTAGATATGATTGGTTGAATGTGATCTATATCCCTTGAAGGGCAAAACATGAGAATTAGCTATGTGTATGAGATTTTTATGTATATAATTAGATTGCTTTGAGAGTAAAGTAACTACACTATAATCTAATTTTTGTGTTAATTGGATGATTATCCTCATATACACACTTATGTATGAATATCATATAATGTGAAAGGTTTGTCACATATAGTGATTCTTAGGTTTGAAGACTAGTCTCACTTATTGAATCTAGGAGTTTTAGCATGAGTTTGTTGGATTGAGTGTCAAGACACTCTTCTTTAATTATCAACTTAAGTCAAGACTTAATGTGAACTCAATGGGAATTATGCTTAGTACCGAGTGGATATTGACAATGAGATGGAAGCTCCTCCGTTAGTAGATGGCGGGTTTCTAGAAGAAGTCTCATGAGATAGAAGCTCCTCCGTTAGTAGAGGACAGCTTTCTAGAAACAATCTCATTTTCCCATAAACTATGTGCCCACATAGGTCTTTAGCTAGTGGATCCACCTAAGGTAAAAGTATAGTTCTACCTTAGGCAATTAGGACAACCCCTTTCGGTGTGGGATAGACACCGAATTCCATGATTATGCTCTCATGGTCTATGTCGGTTAAAGCTAATCCCTTTATGATAAAATGAACTAGAACATGAGTTATGTACTATAGTTACTCAATAAGCTTTCCTTAGTGTGGGTAGGAGCATGAAATCTTATTCATACATTGCACAAGGATGCTTTGAGGGTATTTATGGTATGTTTTCATTATGATATAGTGATCAATATGTTTAATATACTCATGTCTTATGCTTTTGCACTTATTTGTCATGATGATTCTTAAACTTGGTAAAATGCATAGTTTTCAATTAAAATGTCACTTTTAGCATATTTTCATGGTTTTGTGCATCACTATCATACTTAGTGCATTTTTTTGTACTAACTCATATTTCCTCTACATTTTTTATAAATGTGGGTCCCGGTTCTTGAGGTGATATCCTTCTTGGTTGAAGCTTGGATTGACTATTCTTCTTGCTTATTGGTGAGTCCTCATGTTTGGTTCGAGGACGGACAATGATTTTCTAGTTTCATTCTTATATTTTCAATTGAGAACTATGTTGTTAAGGGTTGTGACCCTATTTTGAGACTTCTATTGTAATAGATGGCATTCTGAGACAATTATAGACTCCCGCTTCACTTTTATGAAAACTTCTTAAGGCTTGAAATGTATTTTACTCTTTATTGTTCTTTAGTTATGTGATAAGATGCTAAGTGGCTTACACGATGTCTTTAGGGGTATTGTATGTCATGCTACGTCTAGGGGGTACCCTTGGATCGTGACAGCTAGACACTTTATCTAGTAGTAAATTTGCTCAAAGATAAAAATAAAAATGTAGTTGTAATAGCTGAAGATTGAAATATTTGCACTTATGGAGTACGATGATTCTTCGAATTCCTAATTTAGTTTGTGCAATTCTTTTTTTTTGTATATGTGGTTTTATTCTTTTTTTTATTTAGATATGTAATTTCGCAAAACACTGATTTATTTTTCATGTCAGTTGCAAACAAAAATGGATACCTCCCTGATAAGTATGTGTTGAAAATAAATACACCTATTGATCAGTTGACTACATTAAATAACTCTCTATAGTTATAACACCTCAGATTTGAAAAGGGCTAGAAAGGGAAAACGGAAAAAGTCCACGAACCCAAAATGAACCAAGGACTCTTCAGGACACCCTCGACGGTCAGTGAATGATACCACGGTCCATTAATGGCATCGTTGGACCGCCCAGGGATGATCCTAAGCAGGAGTCACCTATACAGTGCCCCAGACGATCTGTGGTGACTTAGACGACCCGTCGAGTGGATCGTCAGTCACCTAGTCAAAAAGGGTTTCATCCCAGTCGTTGTTAAGGACCACAATGTCAAAACGGTCCGTGAAGCTTCACACGGACCGTGAAGGATACTTATCAGACTTATGATTTTGGGTCAACCTTAAAAGATCATATATTTCAGTACAAAATGAATTAGGTGGCCCATTACTTATCAAATTAAAGGTCTTTGGGTCCGCTTTCTAATGTCGCCTAATTTTCCTAATTTCGAGCCCGAAGTAAAAAGTTATGCCTTTTTTAGTGAAGCCATGTCAGACAGGGCATCTTCACGACCCACTTGACGGTCCATTATGATTTAGACGGGCCCTGAAGGCCCTCGTGGGAGGCATTTCAACAGTTTTAGGTAAGGGTCATATGAGTTTTTTTCCAATTATTTTAACCCAATACTATGCCGTTTTATCTTCTACCCTAGGACCTATGTAAATATTTTTACCCCCAAAATCACCCAATTCAATTCATTCTCCTAAATTCCCTACACTTGACCAAATCCATCCTCTCTAAAAAAATCTTCTCTCTAGATCAGGGAAAAAGAAGAAGAAGACAGAGTTCTTCAAGTTCAAGTCTCAATTCTTCATCATTAATTAGGGCTTCAATCAAGGTATGTATGGAGTTCATAAATGGGTTCAATTCACTTATTGAGCCCCCAAAGTTTCTTGAATTCTCTAATTCGATTTTTCAAGATTTGATCAGATTTTCACTCAATTCCTCACGGGGTCTATTTGTATGGATCCAATTTCTTTATTATTATCTTATTTTGATGATTTGAGCTTAATTACATATTTTTCAACCAATTTCATGTGAACTCATGTATTGATATATGAATTTTGACTATGAACTCAAATTTACATGAATTTATGAAGAAGCTTTGAAAGATGAAAGATGAATTTATGAAGAAACTTGAAACTATGAATATGTTTTATGAAGTTATGCATGATTTTATGAAAGTAATGCTTATGACTCAAGTAAGTTTATAGATGAAGGTATTTATATGCATAATGAAGTTTGACCACATGACATGAATGATATCTTGATTTTCCCTCAATGTTTTTCGAGCTATTTTCCTAAACTAGGTATTGCTTAATATGATATCCGGTTATGTCATTAATGATTATAGATCACGCCTTCAACATTTTTCATTAGTAGTAAGGCATCTCTAGCATGAAGTGAATGACTATGTGCCTTAAAAGCTATTATGAAAAGATCATGGATGGTGAAAATTTTCTCACGCATGGTCTAAAGAGCTATCCTATGTTGTTTCTAGCTTGGAAGAATATCTTAATTGTACTTTTCCATGGATGATAAGACAATCAACGAATACCCATGTCCCAATCACTTTTCTTATGATGTATTATATGGCTTATTGAGACAAATGTTAGACTTCCGCTTTGATTCAAAAACTCTTTTATATGAAATGCTATCTTTTGAACTCTTTAATTCTATTATTTTGTTTGATGCATGCTAAGTAGCTTGTGTAGGGGCTTATACGTCATGTCACGTCTAGGGTGTATTTTGGGTCGTGACAATAGTAAGTTACAAATTCCACTAAATAGCTCATTATAGTAAAAAATGAAGAGTTATGTATTCTTGAATGAAGTGGGAGTTATAGGATAAAAGGTGATGCAACTCTTGACTGAATAAGAGTTACAAGTCTCAACCTTGTCTTATAAAAGGAGGATTTGGGATCATCAAAAGACAATAAAAACACAAGAAGTGAGTTCCTTAGATAAAAAGTGTAGTCGTTGTGAAAAATAATACAAGACTCCATAGTTATATTATAGGAAATCGCTTAGGCAATTGTTGGTGATAACGCTCGATCCTAGAAGACAAATGTATGTATTATTCTGCATAAATCTCAAAGTATAAATCCTTCATTGGTATCAGAGCAGGGTTTATTAGATGTGTTTATCTTTTAACCATTGCATGATTAAAATATAGTGATAAGTGGATTTTCGATTTTATAGCACTAGAGAACTTATCGGCGCTTCGCCTGATAATCCATGACCTCATTAAAATTATGAATGATCATTTTCTAATATCCGAATACTAGAAATTTGGATATTCCACATATATTAAGAACTTGAAAGATTGTTAAATTCTTGCTCCTTAGTGAATTTATCTTCTACATATTTTCAGTTATAATATTTGTTCTTTGATATAATTAGCTTCTCTATATGAATGATTTTTGATATATAAGTCAACTATCACTTTCTTTATAAAATAAATACATAATCACCCCATCAAACTTAGATCCTTTTTTTAAGGAGACACCTTAAGTTTGCGGAGGTCCTATTATCCCACGAAACCATTTAAATTCAAATACATCATTTTGACCCATTTTCACGGCAATTGTAACTTCACACTAGAAAAGTGCGTGAAAGGGTAAAATTGCAGCCCCAAACCAATGGAAAACTGACACATGGCATTGTTAAACCATAGTGAAAAGAGACCCACGTTTCTTCTTCCTCAAACCACCATTAATGGTTGTTGAGAGCTTTTCTCAACAACAAAAGTTGGTTCTTTACTACGCGAAGCAAATCTCTTTATTGTATACTTTATCATCAAGTTCTAGCAATCCATCTTAAGATCTTTTATTAGAAAAATCTACTTAACAACGACATAATACTTAGTCAATTTAGCACCTCAGTTACCTTTCACCAAAGAAATTTGAACCCATTTCCGTTATATAGTTTGAACCCATTTCCGTTATCAAAGAATCTACTCATACAAATTCAAATAAAATGAGAAATTCACTTATAGAACTCAAAGCTAGTCTTGATTTCGAAATACCCACAAAGCTAAAATGGATTAAACTATTTTTTGGAGAAAAAAATTGAAATCAAACACCAAATAAACAACAAAAACACTGAAAAATAACACACAAATTATAAAAGATAAAATTTTATTGTTCATTGAATAAAACACTAACGTAAGTTGTTGGACAAATGTGATTACATAAGGAAAAAGCCCAAAAAAGAAGTAGGTACGAACTAAAAAAAATGTCATGATTGTGATCAATTCTTTTAACTTGTTGAATGGAGGAGAAAAATAACAAGGAGATTATAGTTTTGTTTCATTTTTTTTTTGGTGAAGATCCAAAGTAGACTTCCAAGGAATTATGGGTGAAATATAGAGTCGGTGGTTATATATCAAGAAAGAATTATCGCTCAACCTAAAAAACATTATTTATTTTTTGTCATTTTATTTTCAATTGTAATTTTATTATTATGTGGTATATTACACCAACATATTGATTATTGAATAAGTAAATCACTAATATACTAGCGTCCTCAAAAAATCTAGTAATGAAAAATGTCACAATATAAAAAACATGATTTAAAAATAACAATTATTTCTATGACATTTTTAAGCAACGGGTTGCTATAAATGGATTCGGGTCGGACATTTTATCAAAGACCCGACCCGGAAAACAGGGGTATATATAAAGGTACTCTTGAGTTCTACACTCTACCTGAAGAAAAATTGGAAATCTCTAAAGAAGAAGAAAAACTCAGAGCGAAAATGAGACCAAATATTGTTTCTGAGGTATTGTTTTTCTCAATATTACTATCTTAGATCTATAAATTGTTCATATTGTATGTATTGAAATGTCAATGTAGATGCTAGGGTTCTGATTGAAGTTAGGAATTTGGTGAGGTTTTAAGTATGTAGTGAAAATGCTTGATTTTTGAGTTTTGAATCTCTGATCATGTTATTTTTGGAGAAATAGAGTAAATTGAGGTTAATTTTTAGCTTCATTTGGAAATTATAGTGATTTTCATGATGGGGAAGTTAGAAAAGTGGTGTGGTTTTAAAGGTGTTGAGAAAATGCTTGGTTTTTGAATTCTGAAGCTCTGATCATGTTATTTTTGGAGAGTAGAGTAAATTGAGGTTAATTTTTAGCTTCATTTGGAAATTCTAGTGATTTTCATGATGGGGAAGTTAGAAAAGTAGTGGGTGTAGTGGAAATGCTTGATTTTTTATTCTGAATCTTTGATCATGTTATTTATGGAGAAATAGAGTAAATTGAGGTTGTTATTTTAGCTTCACATGGAAATTATAGTGATTTTCATGATGGGAGAGTTAGAAAAGTAGTGGCTTGATTTTTATTTTGAATTTCTGATCATGCATTTATGGAGAAATAGAGTAAATAGAGGTTAATTTTAGCTTCATTTGGAAATTATATGGGATTTTTCATGATGGGTAAGTTAGAAAAAGTACCGGGGTTTTAAAGATGTAGTGAAAATGCTTGATTTCTGAATTCTGAATTCTGAATCTCGGATCATTTTTATGGAGAAATGGAGTAAATTGAGGTTATTTTTTTAGCTTCATATGAAAGATTTTCATGACAAGGAAGTTAGTTTTCATTTTTGGTCATTTATTAAGGGACTACTTTTGGGAAATGGGGGTACTCTGTTGACTTTATGTAACTGCAACGCATGCCACGTAATATGATGATACAATTGGAAATTAATGTGATTTATGAATGCATATGTATTGATGATTTCCAGTAGAGAAAATCTGTAATGATGGGGTAAAGGCCGCAAAGTTCCTCCCCTTATTGCATAAAGCTTTTAAACTTGTGCCTCAACTAGTACGATCAATTTCAGATGTTGTTACAAAACTGTTTTGATTTCCCAGTAGGGAAGATCTGTAATGATAGTGGAAAAGCTGCAAAGTTCCTCTCCTTTCATTGCATAAAGTTTTTAGGCTTATGCCTCAGCTAGTATGATCGATTCAGATGTTGTTGCAAAGTTCCCGAAAATTTTATTCAATAACTGTGTTTACTTCTTTATATTCTAGTAGTGATATAAGTGCTTATGTCACTGCAAGGCTGTCACAACAATGATCTTTATATCTCTTTTGGAGAATGGTTATTCCTCTTGTATTTGTTAACATTTATTCCTTTAAGTGATTCATTATATAGTAATAGATTAGCCAGTGATTTCTTTTTTCGTTCAGTCTGTTCTTTTTATTACGAATCATCTATCTTTTCCTTGGTTCAAACTGTTTATTAGTTCTCTGTTTTAAAGTTTCTGAACCAAAGGGTGATATTAAGATCTAGGACTACTCGAGTTATCAGAGCCACCGTTTTACTTGTATATTCTTCTGATAAGAAGGAAATAGAGAGATTGTCTTCTTAGTTTAGCCATTTGAAAGGTCTTTCTATTGATGAAGGGAGAAAAAAAGAAGAAGAGAACTTGTACTCTACAAATTCCTACATCAAACAATTAAAATGTCACATATTTCTTAATACTTCATAATGTCTAACTTGGACATTGAAAGCAAGACAAGAATCTGTGGGAAAAGTAGCTTTTATGTTGACTCTCACTTGTTCCAATTTGTTTGTAGGCGGGATTACAGACAAGGATGGGACAGTGGTGGGAAGGAATTCCTATCCTTACATCTGCAGTAGTGGTTGTTTGTGGGATAATATACTTGGTTTGCCTTCTGGTTGGGTATGACTCATTTGCTGAAGTATGCTTCTTGCCATCTGCTGTAATTTCTCGATTTCAAGGTAGGTTCACTTATAGTTCTGTTTTTCCTTCCTAAAAAAACAAGGTGTACATATATAGTGCTTCTGATACATCAAAATGTGCCTGTTAAAAAGAAATCCTGCCTGCACTCAAATTACTCTATTCTTAGTGGAAAGATTAATTTGATGGAATCTTGTCAACTATTTGAGGATAATTATACATTGCTATTGCTTAGTGATCATTGATGAGTTGTTTGGGGTTCACTTATAGTGCTGTTTTCCCTTCCTAAAAAAACAAGGTGTACATATATAGTGCTGCTCATACATCAAAATGTGCCTGCACTCAAATTACTCTATTCTTAGCTGAAAGATAAATTTGATGAATCTTGTCAACTATTAGGATAATTATACATTGCTGTTGCTTAGTAATCATTGATGAGTTGTTTGGGGGGTGGGGGTGGGGGTGGGGTGGGGGGAGCAATGTGGCTTGGGTGGTTATTTGAGTAGGAACTACTTTCTGCCTATCAATTGATCAATTTCTTTAGTTGTTCACTTTCTTTTGAAGACTTTGGAACCTTACTCTTTCATGTAATTTTACTCATCTCTTCTCATGCATTTGCCATGCGTGGCTATGAATTGATCAATTTCTTTAGTGGCCTATGAATGTGCTATATTTCTTGCTCAGTTTCCAACTCATGATACATAGCCATTGTAATAATTTTCGTATTCGTCATACATTATTGATGAATCACATAATTCAACTTTGATTTGCTGGTTCTGTAGTGCATGAAAATCTTTTGTGGAGCTATAATTTTGATATCATTTCTTTCCTTTGTCATATTTAGCATAACTTTGCACTCCTATTTTTTGACACTGATTTTAATTTTGTGTTTCTGTTGCAGTTTACAGGATTTTTACCTCAATTCTGTTTCATGGTTCTCTACTGCATGTTCTGTTTAATATGTTAGCTTTGGTCCCTTTGGGTTCAGAGCTGGAGAGGATTATGGGATCAGTGCGCCTGTTATATATAATTGTTCTGTTGGCCGTTAGCAATGCCTTACTCCATCTTCTTATAGCATTGTTGGTTGCCCATAATCCCCTTCATCCCTATCCATACTTTATGGACGAGTGTGCTATAGGTTTCTCAGGGATCTTATTTTCAATGATTGTGATGGAGACAAGTCTAAGTGGGGTCCAAACTAGAAGGTTTGTCGCTTTCCTGTTTTTGGATCGGATTTCCTCTTCTTAAATCATTAAATTATTATTTTTTCTTGTTCCCTTCCCTTTGTACAAGTTTGAAATTCCTTTTATAAATCAGTGATCCTGTATATGCATGTTATATATGAGCATAGACAGATACACAAAAAAATGTTCGACATTAGATGTGAATGGTTACATTAGAATTTAGATCAATTATTAGTTGTTGGAATCATGTGTTTGCTAATGTGAGTTTGCCTTTTTTCTTTTTGCAGTGTGTTTGGGCTTTTTAATGTGCCTGCTAAATGGTAACTAGTTTACTTTCCGATAATTGTAAGTTTGTTTTATTTTTTGTATTGTGTGTATCTTATGCTATAATGTTTTGATTATTTTTTCACTAGGTATGCATTGATCTTACTGGTGGTATTTCAGCTTGTTATGACTAATGTCTCCTTACTTGGACATCTTTGTGGTATTTTATCTGGATTTGCATGTAAGTTGCTTCCATTATGCTGGACCCTCTTCAAGTTTTCCAAATTCTATTCTATGTCATTTGTGGTATATGATAATTATGTGAACAATCTTTATATATTTGTGATCGCTTATCTTATAATTCTTTTTTCTTTTTTCCTTCTCTTTCTTGATGGTACCAGATACATATGGATTGTTCAATGTCTTAATACCTGGGACTTCTTTCTTCTCGGCTATTGAATCTTCCACTTGGCTAGTAAGTTCCTAAGAAACGATATCAAGATATTCCGATATTTCTTATTGGACCACTTGCGTGTTCAACTTGGAGGTATAAAGTGATGTGAGCATCACCCTTCTGATTGACCTTGCTTGTTTGTTTGCTTCTTTTCGTTGATGTTAACTTCCCACTTTGGCTTGTTGGCATCTTGTAGACAATTAATTCTTAAAGAGGACAAAGAATAAGTTAAGCCTATGGTCAAGGCATTTGCATCATAAATGTTCACAAACAGAGACACCACTAACAGCATCACAGGGAGGGGATGAATATTTAAATCCAAACTGGTCTGTAGTGTTAACCAAGAGAAAGGATGAAGTGGTTGCATTTTAGTTAATACAAGAAAGCATCGCCTCTCTTTTCCTGCTGCCCTGGGTTGCTTGTCCTAGGAGATGACTAAGTCATTAAGTAGATTCTGCTTCTTTTAAGTCCTTATGCTGATGGCTGATGCTATATGTTCTCTACTCTAAAATCCCAAAAACAAGTTTCTAAGTAGGCCATATTATTTCTCTTGTTCATTCTTTTCTCAATTGTTAAATGTAAAATCTGACTGGAATAACACTCAAAAGAGTGTACTAGAGCCCAATAAGTTGATAAGCGAAGACCAGAAAATAATGAACTCCGCGAGACTTACATTTTATAGCTGTAAAAAAGAATTAAAAATATAAGGCATTCGCATGTGCCCATTTCACAAAAAAAGTGAATGGGGTATCTTTGCTCCCTTTTGATTGTGAAACCAGTTAAAATTCCATTGGGTTATGTACATTTAACTTGAACAAAAGAAAATTTTGTTTTGCTCATTGTATTGTTATATTGAAAATTTGGATCATCATATAATACATTTTTAGTGGTTGAGCCATGCTTTCTCCAAGGCACATCAAAACTCTTGCCCACCTTAAAATTTCATTTGTTTGGTTTCAATAACATAGTGAAATTTGCAAAATACTTATATATTTCTATCTTCTGGGCAGTCAACTTGTGTGAGGAGACCAAAGTTTATTATGTGCACTGGTGGTAATGGTGCCGGATACCTACCCACACATTCAAATCAAACAGTGACCTCCAGGTGGATCTTGTTCTTTACTTTAGTCGAATCTTACTGATTTAATCTGAGCATGTGCAAAAGTAGTGACGGTTCTTCCTTTCAGAAGTGGAGTGCTTTCTGGAAATATTTGGGAGAACCTTTCTTCGTGGATGCCACAGAGAGAGAGCTCTCTCTCTGCTCAGGTATGACAGATTATTGAGACTTACTTATCCGTTATGTCCCATTGACTGGTCTAAATTAGAAAGAGTTGAGAGGCTATCATGTCTTCCTTTTCTTGTCAGCAGAAATTTCTTTTCTTCTTAAGTAGAGTAGATAAAGCTGCAATGTTGCATGATCTATAATGGGTTGTGAACAAGGGGGAATTGATGCCATTTTATATCTGTGTATTGATGAGTCTCGCATATGTATTAATCAACCCTTCTCCTGAAGAATTCCCAACTACACAACTGCTTGATAGTTGCTACTTACCTAGTTCTCTTGTCTGTGTGCCCTAATGTATAAATAAGAACAAAAATCATGGATTATAATGCAGTTAAAAGTCTCTTAAGTTATTAATTTGTTCAAATTGCAGCCAGTGACAGATGATAGCAGGTTTCCTGGGAGAGGAAGAACTCTGAGTTCCCAGACCACCACCGGAAATCATGATTCAACATTACAGTCTAGGCTCCTGGATGGTAGCAGCAGCCCTGAGCGTAGTTCACCTACAGCTACAATAGGTGGAGAGCGGAGCTTAGCTGGAAGGTGCTAGAAACAGACTGTTAATAATCATATCGATTTAGTATTTGACTAAATCATTGCTTGGTGCACTAAGATAGATTTGTTTTTAGTTACATTTTCACGTGCTGCTGAGACTGCTCTCTGATTGAATGATTAGCTGGAAAACAAGGTGTTTAAATTGGTTGATCCAGTAACCAAGTTTAAGTTATATCGCTACAGATAGGAAAAGCTGGATTTTCTTCAATGCGTTCACAAAACTACAATCCCTATGATTCGTTTTTTTCACTTATAGTTTCTTCTGGATTTTCTGATTTCTATCTTGATCAAAGTAAAGCCTCCAATTCCCATAATTACCTGACGTTCTTATTGTGGGTCAAGCTTGAATGCTTGATAGCTCAACTTTGTTGTTAAAACCTAAGAGCTTAGTGTCTGTGATTTGCTCTAAACACCATTATATTTTGATTCTGTGTGACATCTCAGACTATCAGCAGTAGATACTACCGCCACAGCTACCAGACCGCTAGGACAGCAGGTATATGATTTGAACTTCGATACTTGCTGAGGGTTTATGTTTACCATCATTCATGCTAAAATTATCTTTGAATATAGGCTTCCATTCCCTCAGATGAAGAAGTTCAGAAACTTGTTGCAATGGGCTTTGAGAAGGTACAGTTGTTTGAATGCATCATTTCCTTATAATTCGAGGAACACAATTCTTATCAGTTATCACAGCTTTCTGAGATTTACCTTGCAAATTAACTTCTGGATCGCTAACAATCTTGGAATCTCAGACACAAGTAGAAGTTGCATTATCAGCAGCTGAAGGGGACTTGAATGTTGCTGTGGAAATTTTAATGAGCCAACAGGTACTTCTTTTCGGGTGTTGTAATCCCAGTCATAAAGGGGCTTATTATTCTTCTTAACGGATCTTTCAAATGCCTCATATGCAGGGTTAATATGAAATGCTATCATCAGATATACATCAACATTTGACTCAAAAAGCCGAGGCTCTGCAAAACTAGTAATCTAATTCCTCGAGCCCTGGTTGTTTTCCTCTTCTTCTTTTTGTTGTATATATTCTTACAGCAAATTTACACAATTCTTAGAGAGAAGGAAGACCTTAGTGTGTGATTTACGCCTAATCCACATAAAACAGAGATGAATTGTACATCTACCTTCATGATTTTAGATGCTGCAATATCAATGAATCATTTTATATTTTCTTATCCTATATCCAATGTGAGAATGAGTCTTTTTTCTCTTCTTTTAATTACAATCCTGTGCAAGTATCTTTCTTTCCTCCTTGACTTGTAGGTATTCTCTTTTCCTCAAGATTTTGGTCTAAACAGGAGTTTCAACTCTGCTAGTTGTACACATTACAAGAGCAATTTTATCTTGTCGTGTAAGCTTTGGGGGCTTTAATGTTGTCACTGACTATGAGTTATACTATTAGACTAAAAGCACTGCTAAATGAGCCCTCAGGGTTTTGGTTCCACGCGGCAAAAGATAGAACAATGCCCGTGGTGTATGATTGATCCTATACGAGTGTGAATCTTGATAGTGAACCAAGTTCGATGTTGTTGTAAGATTAGATAAGTTCCTACATCGGAAGTTCGAATCTTGATAGTGAACCACACACCAGTGTTAGTGAATCCTCTTCCTTAATCACAACTACTCACTTTACAATGTATAAATATATATACAACATGTCAGTGTATCTCGTAAGTGGTGTCTAGAGAGAATGGTGTTTATTTGGAAAGGTATCTCGCAAGTGGAGTCTAGAGAGGGTAGTAGATAAAGAAGCCGTTTCCTATAGACTCCGAGTCAAATGTTCAAAGTAAACGTTCCTTCCCACATCGGTTTGGTGAACTATTTTACTTCTCTTAATATGTAACTCTCAAGCATAAGCACAGCAATCAGATCACATGTTGACGTGAATGGGCTGTAACCCATCCTATGGATGGCTTAAGGCCCAGGAAAGTCCCCGGGCCCATAACCGCAGAGATGCGGGCTCAGAAATGAGTTATGCTTCATGGGCTGGAGTCCAAATCTCATAAATGGGATTGGGCTGAGACGAGGTGGAGCTATGATTCCAGCCCAGAAGCCCAATTGGCCAATAAAACAGTTATTCACGTGGTCTAGTTAAAACCTAGACTAACTGAACGGGGCTTACAATCATGTGGTCATTCTTTTTATGTTTTTTATCATTTCAATTTTGTTCAATTATTAGCTATTTCGATAGACTATATATCGGAGATATATTAATTATCTGTTATACAATATACTTGTGATTAACATATTTTGTGAATAGGGATCATTTGCTGCATTATGTAGATACAAGCATGTAAAGTTTAGTGAACATATATGTATCTTATAAAATTGATCTTTTGCATTGCACAAGGACACCTAACTTTGGGTCAAATAGATTACTAGAAGCGTAGCCAAGATTAAGAGTTTGAGCTTTAAATTCTGAAAGTGGAGCTTAGATTATGAGTTTAGGATAGAAGAGGAAAATATTGCAAGACATGCAAAAAAAAAAAAAAAAAAACTTGGGTTAGTGTGAAGTTCAAACCCACAACTCTTGTATAGAAAGCTTCCACTGTCCTTCCTTGCCATTGAGTCATCAATTAATTTTGGTAGGGAATTTACAAGTTATTATAGATTTATATATTTAAATCGACAGAAAAAAACTACTAAATTCACTCGAACCCAAAAACCCCCACTTAGCTTCATCCCTGGATAGATGACCTCACTTCACATCCAGCCACGACAAATTCAAATTGCGTCCATCAAGCCCATTTAAGGTGACCGGAACCCCTACTCTTAATCATAAAACTATAGGCACACCTACTCAAACCATAAAACTATAGGCAAGATAGGTTGTCAAACTCTCTACCGTACCCACGTATCACAACCCAAGACCTCTGGGTAAGAATAGAAGGATCTCCTACATCGTACCACATCCCTTTATATCTCAAGACAAATCCACTTATTATATCCTTCAAGCTACCCAATCCATACACATGAGTGCATGTAGCATCGCATTGAGTCGTCCCCAATGCAGTGAACACCTGTGTCATTTTTGTCTGGCCTTTTGCCTGCTCGAAAAATGTATTGTATTCTAGATCTTTGTAGAGGTTACTGTGGCCACAGTAGATTGAAAAATAAAAAGAAAAATGGTTCCATGCCAAAAAATAAATCATTCATATGCTCAACTGAAGGAGGTTTTTGTCATTTCTGCCAAACTAAACCAACAGTAAAAACAACAAAGACAGAAATGAAGCATAGAAAACATATACCAATGCTATAGAGAAAACTTATACAGATCCATTCCCCACTCGTATGGCATTAAATACAACAAAAAGAGGAATGGGAAACTGGTAAAGAAGTAACAGATAATACATGCCCAGAAGGCACCCAACAACTATATCAACTATACATTCCCTTCAACCAAAATCTTATATGCAGAATAAATTATGCAGAAGACAACATCAAAATGAACCAACCCTCAGCAGTGTAATAGCTGAAGGCGAGGGCAGAAACTGCAGCGCATCCTAACTAAACTAAAGAGAAACAAATCTCCCTCCCCAAACGAAATCGAAGGGAAAACATATAGCCTGCAAAATCTGACCAAATCACCAGGAGGAAGCAAAGGTGGTGAAATCCCCTATATGAAAACAATTTTCATGCTAATCCCCTCTCTGCCTTCTACTTATCATCATGTCATAGCTACAAACTCTTTTACATGCCTCCCTTCTAAGCTCGTGAGGAGTGAACACTACAACCAAAGCCCAGCTGGAATATCACAAACCTCTTTCAGTTGTATATCTTGACTGGCTTTTCAAATGTGTGACGGTTCTGCAATGTCAGAGTAATTATTAAAGCATAATAGAGGTTTTTTTTAACATATAATGACCAAAATTATCAAGCAATAAGCAGCTCAGAGTGTAGGGTCCAGTGGAGAAACGATGTCAAATAATTCTGCAACTATTAGACTATGTAACTAGTCAGTGATTGTCGTCGAGCAAAATGGAAACATAGATTACATCTCAATATCTGATCACACACCCAAAAGAGAAGGTCCATAGAAATTAAACCATATGCGCAACTATTAGAGAAATTATTTTTTCTTTTTAATTAGCAATCTACAAACCTGACCCTGAAAGCTCAAACATTAAAAAGCAGGTTCCACTAGATAAAATATCATAAATTTAACAGCTTTTAGGAGGAGGCAAATTAAGATACTACGATAGAATCACTTGTATGTTTTAACTGATAACTAAATAGAACCACTTGTATGTTTTAACTGATAACTAAAAGGGTTCTAGTAAGATCTAAGAGAGTCTACCTGATTAATATATGGCCTCTTAGATGTATTATCTGCATGCTCCAATCCAAGGTACTGCTCCCAAGCACCATAAACATCTCTCCTCTGCAACAGGATACAAGCATCTTCAGCTTGGGCAGAATTTAGAAAAAAGAAGACGCAATTATAGCTGACACACAAACATAAAAGGAAGTTCACGCGGACCTTCGGGGAGGGGGGGAGGGGGGGATACACTAACCTGAAAACGGTTGGATACAATATCTGAGTCCTGAAGGTATTCTGGGCGCCCCAATGATAAAAATGCAAACTTCCACTAGCCATCAAAAAATTACAGAGTCAACCCATCAGTCAATCATAGGCCTTTAAAAACTAAACCATAATGCTAAAAGTATGCAAGAATATTCCAGTTGCTGCAAAGGCTTGTGCTAAAGCACTGTACCTTAGAGAACTCCTCATCCGAGACCTGCAATTTCTTTTGAATGCGCACTTTAATTTCCGCTAAAGTTTCACCTTCACGGATGACCAGAAAGAAAGGTTCTCCAAAATTCTGCACTTGCTGTTGAAAACCAATCCAATTACTAATTTTAACGTCAGATGCAGCAGTATATCAGCAACAGTCAATCAAGCCTATTTGTATTACCATTTGATTTTGTGGAGTCTCTTTTGTGAAATGGTAAACATGAATTAGACGATCATGGGGACCAAGGTTTTTTTCCTCTTCTGGTATCTACAAAAAAATAAAAAAAAATAAACAGAGTATTACAAATAGGTCAGTGGAACAACATATACCACAGAATATCATTATTAATTTTTAATCGATAATCTAAAGCAGAGGGGTCAGTGGAACAGAAGACACCTTTAACAAATAAAGCTGACACAGCAAAGCATAGCAATCAAATTAAAGCTCAGATCCTAGATTCTCCTTTTTGAAAGAGGGTGGGGAAGGAAGGGAATATGTATCCAAATCTCTGCTTAAACTTCAAAACCTCAGAAACAATTTTTTTAGAAAAGTAAAAAGGATCAAAAGAAGAAGAAGAAAAAGAAGAAATCAGCCATACAACACCTAGAAAACTTACTTCCTCTGCCCGCAATGTCCAATATTGGTCATTTATATTCTCAATCTTTTCACTGAGCGGAAAGATCTGCAGATTAGAAATGGTAAAGGAAAGGGTGGTGGATCAGATACAGACAGACAAAAAGAACACCTAAGCTAACAGAAGAAGTCTTGAAAGGTCATTTAACGATCAAACTAAAATGTCAGCACAAATCTAATAAAGGAGAAAAGTATTTTTTGAGAAAGGTAACGATTGCATTAGTCAAGATCACATAGCCTGTGCTAGAAGCCATATTTACAGATTCAAATAAAGGACAAAAGTATTAAACTTATATTAGGACTCCTCACCTTATAAATCTTGTGATAGAAGACCTCGAGTAATCTGAGCTCTGCATTTGGATGGGACAACTCTACCTGTTGCAGCACACCATATGCCAGTAGTTATATTCTCATACCATAAATGGAAGCCACCATTGAACAGAAAACATTAGAGAAATAACATTGGTCCAGAATATACATGACAGATCTAAATCTTACATGTCCTTAAAAAATGCATGTAAAATGATTTTCTTCATAATATATACACCAACAAGAGACATACATTAGGGTGCACATTTGTCATCCTTCATTAATGGTTTTAAACAAGATAATCTTATAGGAAAGAGAGTACTACTCTCCTTGCTGAAAAAAAGAAGGAAGATAGCCACTTTTGAAGTCAAAAAATATCACAAAAAGATTGCCAACTCCCGATATCAACAAGTGATTTTTTGTATAATCAACTAAATCAAGTATGTTAAGATAAATTGAAACACAAATTTAGCTAACTTGTACTTCTCATGTTATTTCCAAA